GTCCCTCCCGCTTCTGCTCCCCGTCAGCAGCCGAGGTGCGTGTGTAGCTCTGGAAAAGTGCCAAACTGACCCTGTTCTTTGGGGTTGGGCTTTTTTTTTCCGTGCAGAGGGTGTACGGGTAGGTCCTGTGCGCGTTGTGGAACTCACAGTTTCAAGCCTCATCTTGGATGGGTGCATTTAATGTATTGGCAAACTGCCATACAAGTTAGCCAAACCCCCGCTTTACTAAGTACTAATAAAAGGCTCCGCGTAAGGGTATTTTGTGGTTTATGGTGCCAATATTAAATGAAGAAAATTTAGACTTGGACCCATCACCTACTGCCTTGATAGGTTTAATCCTTTGACTGTAGTGTTTCAGTGTTCTTTCATTGTCCTTCCAGGGATTAGTTTGAGCTTGGAACACTGCTGCCTTGGCTAGCTCGCTTCTGCAGGATGCCACACAAGATCAATTTCGTAGTCGTTAGTTCATCGGGACACGAGGATGGCTTCAGCGCGAAAGAGCTGATGGTTCATGCACCAACAGTGAAGGGATGGCGATCACCCAGGTACTGCAGGCAGGAGGAGCATGCGGAGTTCGGAGGCACTAAGGGAGTTTAAAATGAGTGGGAGATGTGCCCTGCATGGTCAGAGTAGTTTATAGCGTCCCAGACCAAACTGATGATACAACCAGCAGAGTTGTATCATCAGCTGAGAAAAAAAGTGCCTTGGTTGCCATCTAAAGGCGTCACATTGCATGTAAATAAAGTCCTTTGAAAGAAAAGAAAAAAAACCACTATTTTTCTTCTTGTTGGTTTTGGAATTTCCCACTGCCTTGGCTTGTTATTAAAAGTCTGGTCTTCTCAGCACATCCTCTCGATCTGTGTGGGGCATATTGACATTCACATGCATGCAATAAAGTGAAGAGGGAAATGTTTCTACTCTACTCTGTTTTTTTCTTACAATATTTTTAATACTGACTTAAACTGCAATAGCTTTGGGAAGTTCTGTAATTAAACGTTACTCAAGTTGGAAGTGAAGTCATCTTTAAAAAGATGATTGAGAAATTGTATATGTTTCCAGATGCTGTCAGTATCCACAGGAAATTGTTCTGCAGTTGGTGGAGAGGTGTCGGATTCGAAAACTGCAGTTGCTCGCTCACCAGTACATGATATCAAGCCAAGTTGAGTTCTACGTCAGTGAAAGCTTGCCTGAATACTTTGCTCCTTATCAGTCCCAGAGATTTCACAGGCTAGGGTAAGTCAAAAAGCTCTGAGTGGTTTTACTACCGTAATCAGAAAGGCCTCAGGAAGAATTAAGACAGGACAAGGGGAAATGGCCTCAAGTTGCGTCAGGGTAAGTTTAGATTGGATATTCGGAGGAAGTTCTTTCCTGAACGAGTGGTGAGGCACTGGAACAGGCTGCCCAGGGAGGTGGTGGAGTCACCAACCCTGGAGGTGTTTAAAAAAAAAGTAGATCTGGCACTTGAGGCTGTGGTGTAGTGGTTAGGTATGCTGGGATGAAGGTTGGACTAGATGATCTTCAGAGGTCCCTTCCAACCCCTGACATTCTGTGATTCTGTGATTCTATGATGCTTGGCAGAGGGTGTCGAGAGGCTGTGCTGCAAGGCGTGCAGGTTCTGTACTTTCTCAGGTTGTAACAAAGCTGAAGACGTAGGTTTGAGAGGCATGATGCAGCTGAACAGTCTTGTCAGCTCTCAGCACACATTGTTACAGTTTTAAGGGAGCTTTCAACCTTAATCAAAGTACTAACCCGAGGAGCAAAACCGCATCTGTGTATTTGTACCTTTCCTCTGCTTACTCACTATGTTTTCCCTCTCAGTTACGTCCCTCTCTCGGACAATGAGAAGACTGATTTTAAGGCACGAGAGTTAAAATCTGTGTATATGGATGCAGTTGGCCAGTACGTGAAGCTGATTTTCCATAAAAATTATGTCAATAAATACAACTTATATGGTCAGGTAAGAGTCCTTACTTGGAAAGCTAGACGGCATTTCAGTCTGGTCCCTTGATTTGTAGAAGCTAAAAATACTGGTTGAAGGCCCCCACGCTTATTTTTGTTTTCTTTTGAAACAGAAAAATACAAATAAGAGTTATAAATTACTTGGAATCATGACTCAGTGCGTGCAACTTATCCAGAACAAGCGAATCAAGTGCCTGTTCCATTACTGCCTTTCATTCTGAGTTTTAGGCTGCACTGCAGGCTCCGTGCTGAAGGCAAAGCGATTCCACTGAGAGCAGCTCTGCAGTCGCTACAAAACCACTCGTAGTCGTTAGGATTTGATGTGGCATTAAGTGGAGGTGTTGTTCAGCCATGGTGATACAGAAAAGCAGATATCTGCCCCAGTTCTGCAGTGACTCTTTCCATTTCCATCCCAGAAAAGGGAACAACTGATGACTGTACAGTGTGTCTGTAGATCTGGTAATACATTTTTAATGAAGCGTGAAGTACATTTGGCACTTGGTGCTTCTCTTTGCTTCCACACCACCCTGGAGGCCACGGGTTCTGTCTCTTTTTGTTTCAATTTTCTTAAGATACGGAAAAAGTAATGACCTTACGCGTTTACATTTTCTTTTAATCTGTCCCAGGTTGGCCTAGTAGCTATAAACATTATTGGAGACCCAGCAGACTGCAGTAACGACAGCAATAACACGGTAAGTGCTGACTTCCCTGACTCGGTGCTCTTGCTGCCTGGGTTTGGTTACAGGGTTCTTGGGGTAAAGGAACGCGTCTGTCTCCTGCTCGTTTTGTGCTGCAGCAGAGCTGCCACATGTTGGGGTTTGTTATTTTTTATGTTATCCCAAAGCAAGGAAGTTCTCAAAAACTGAGCTTAATATGCAAATAAAACCCCCTGAGCTGTCATCAACTGGAACGTTGGCATTTCCAGCCTCTCCAAATTCTCCTGTTTCAATATGCCCCGAAGCACAAGTGCTATAACTTGCACAGCTTATGCTGATTGTGGCAAGTCAGGATTTCTGTCCTGGGCACACACTTGGTGTTGATGAATGTTCATTAAGATTTTTTGTGTTTTTCTTTTCTTACAAAGCCTTCCAGAGAGAAGCTGATAGACCAGTACTTGGGAATTAAGTCAGATGATCCTGCCTTAGATGGGACTTACCTTGGGTAAGGAGGTTCTTTTGCATACGCCCTGGTGACGCGTCTGCTCCATCTAAACTATTGATTAGTCTCTGTATGTTGTTAGCTCCCTGCCAGTGAAAACAGAAGACATACACTCAGCTTGGTTTATTGTGGATTAATTGAAAGTTGCTTTATTAATTTTGTATCTTCAGGAAACCTGACTCCATTTCACCTCTAGATGATTTGGCTTTTGACATGTACCAGGATCCAGAAGTTGCCCAGATAATACGCAGACTGGATGAGAAGAAGCGTGAAGCTGTCCATCACGAGTGCTACGATTACGCCAAGAAGCTCAAACAAGCCATTGCAGACTTGCAAAAGGTGTTGTTGAGAGAATGTTCGTTCTTACTGATCCTTAAGATGACCAGCATTCCAGTGGCCCATGGGGAATCACCGTCGTTTCCAGTATATTTTCGAAATAGTAATTTTAAAATCACACGGCTTGATTCAATAACTTGGCCAGGAGTACTGACCTGTGCACGTGTGTACAGAAAGGTGATCCCGAGCTGGCTTGTTCTGCCCTCTTCTAGGTGGGGGAGTGCCTGGGGCGGTACGAGGTGGAGAAGCGCTACGCTATAGAGAAAGAGGATTATGATCTTGCTGAAGTGAAGAAGCAGCAAATGGAAGTGTACCGCCTGAAAGTGTATCAGCAGCTGGAGCTCCACCACCTTCTGGATGCCCAGCTGATGGTGCGTGCTCTGAGCCCTCTCTTAGGAGGCTTCGTCCTGGGGGCTTTGTAAATAGAAATGGCAGAGCAACCACAATAAATTGAATGACTAAGAGATCTTACACAGGTCTTTTATGACAATTGCATGAAGATTTTAAGATTTCTGTCTGAATCATGGATTTCCCTAACCAAAGATTTGTACGTGGCATTTTATGAACTTGCTTAGTTCTCCATAAATTACATTAAACTGTTAAGGTCTCAAGCAAATGACATTAGAATCCTGAATATTTTGCATAATTTCAAGGCTACCTAATGCAGATTCATAAGGTACTTTCTCGTATTTTGAAGGGGTATAACAGGCTTATGCTGGCATCAAGTCTAACTTAGTGTGATAAGATATATGTAGTTCTATATTTTTCTCAGAACAGGAAGCTTTATAATCCCTCCACACACACACATCCACACAGAATTATTTGAGCTGTAGCTGTACTAACTCTGCGTTCAGTACGTTGCTAGCCTTGCTTTACAAAACCTCCTTCCCTGTCTCAGATTCGAAAACCACCTCAACTGCCTTTGGAGCCCGTGATTTATCCTGACAGTCCTCAGCACACAAAAGCTACAAATTCACCTCCTGGTGAGCACGCAGAACCGCAGAAGGAAGAACCACAGAGAGCAGAGCCTTTGCTGGAAAAGAAGGCATCAGATCCTGCTCCTGCTGAGCCCATCATTCCCCGTCAGTCTCCTTCTCCTCCTCCTCCTGAGACTTATCCCACAGCCTCCAGGGAAGTTCTCCCCAAAGAAAATGTGAGTGGTGTAGGCACTGATTCCATTTCTTCCTGATACCGTTAGGGGTCCTCCAACATCTGTACATAATTGGAAAGTATCACTGCTTTGAATTCACCTCAAAGCTTTTTTATTTCCCCATCAATTAGCGATGAGACAACTTCACATCCGAGCCATTTCTAGAATAGCAAATTATATCTCCTTTGTTAGGTCGAATTTTTGCCGTACGATGAAAGACCTCTTCCAGCTGCCTGTAAGCAGCCTGATGAAGCAATCGCGTACCTGGAGCCGGGGCTGGCTGCCGAGGATACCAGCAGGACTCCAAGAAGTGGCATTACTGGGGAACCAGAACCACTCACTGAGAAGGCGCTGAGGGAGGCCAGCCCTGCCGTTGAAGTTTTTGGAGAAGCTTTGGTAAAGAGCAGCTAAACCAACACACAGATTATTGGGATCTGTGTTGATTTGATATGTTCTCAGTCAACAAAGACCTATTTGATATGTTCTCAGTCAACAAAGACCTCAGTCAACAGCAGACCTAAGCTGTTACTTAAAAATCTGAAATTAAAATTTGACCCCTAACTCATCACTGTCTTTTGTAGGGAGAGAAACCGTGCCTCTGTCTGAAATGGTTCCTTGAGTCCGACCTGTTAATCTGTTTAACTCATTGTTTTTCAAATACCTGTGCTTTTAATAAAAGCCAGATTCCTGTAGGAAGCACCTGGGGATTTCATGCTTAAGTTCATAGGTTGTTTTCAGGCTGTTCCTATATATGAATGTTGAACAAATATTGATGTTTCAGTATTGACCTTTTAAGAGATAAGCTTGTTCTGTGTTCAGGTTTCAGGAGCGTATTCCAAAACTTGGTCATGTCGAGAAGATGCGTTACTGGCTGTGTATAAGAAGCTGATGGAAGTGTCGGTAGACACTCCGAAGGAGGATTTGAAGAACATGCTGAGGGCTGCCATCTTTCTTGTAAGGAGAGCCATCAAAGACGTAGTGTCTTCAGTAAGTTGTAAGATGTTGCATAAGAAATGCTTCAGTGGAAAACTAACAGCAAAAGCTGTAGAACCCTGTGGTTAAGACACTTTAAATAATTTAAACAAATAATTGTAAAAATACTGGTGAGTTAAAAAAAAAAAAGACCAAACAAACAAAAATCCCGAAAGAATTGAAATGTCAGCTTTTCATCAGGATCAAGGACTGGGCACTGTCTGGCGTTCAGCAGCGCGGGAAATACCGGCCTGGCCTTGAAAACAGTTGTTGATGCAGTGAACGTGTACTGCCCTTGGGCCTCTTTTTTTTTTTAAAGTTGAAACACGGCAATGAAGTCATTTTTAGTTTCCACCTTGAAAAATGGCCATTAGCCTAAGGACTCTCAGGCTTCAAAAAAGCCTTAAACAGGAGAAAAAGAAAATAAACCAATATTATCTGAAGACAGGGATCTGTGTGGTATTTTTGTTCAGCATTTCCTTTTCTTTTTGTTGTTGTAACTTAGGTTTTTCAAGCTTCCTTGAAACTTTTAAAGATGATCATTACCCACTATATACCGACACATAAACTAGGAAAACTAGAAACTTCTCATTGTGTGGAAAAAACGCTTCCCAACTTGCTTTCTAGAACAGGAGACTCTTCATCTCGTCTTCGCGTTGTGGCTTCTAACTTCATTGAGGTAGGTGCTTTTCTTCAGATTGCCTTTGGATCTGCATTACGAATGTCACTGAGCTTGCGGGTGGGTAACAGTGAGGGGAGACGCCTGCTGCTGCGGATGCCAGAAGGGCGTGACTCGTGCTTTCTTCTTGCAAAAGAGGTGAGAAGAAAGTACAAGGTACTGCTCAGGCTCCTGCAGTTCATTACATTTTTGATAGTCGACTTTTCAAAGCAGATTTAGCAAAAGCATAAAGAGCTGCCCACTTTAAAAGACACAGACCGTTCCTTGCTCAAGGCTGACACAGACAGTTAATTTTCCTCAT